ATAATAAAATTATTGCATTATTAAAGTTATTATTACAATATATACTTATATATTTAATTATTTAAATAATATCAATTATTGTAATATATATTCAAATAGAATATTATTTCCTAAGATTTCATGTAATATAGAATGTACAATTATATTTAAATAATAATATATATAATAAAATTATTTAAGTTACTATTTTACTTTATTATTATTATGTATTTTTTGGGCACTAATGAGAACTAAGCCACTCATTGGGAGGAGAAAATCCCACCTGAGGCGCCCCCTGCTGGCCAAAGCCGGCTTCACTCCTCCGTCGAAGAAGACCCAACACCAAACACAACTAACTGATACTGGCGCTGAGCCCGGAAGCTCTGGCCCTTTTATAGGCACCGCCGTGACGTACGCCGCCATGACGTCACGGCCGATTCTGGAAGCGTCTGGACGCGCGTCGGTTGTTGTAGAGAGAAGCAAGGGGGTGGGGGGAAACCAACTAGCCAATCAGAACGCCATAACTCAGGAGCAAAGGCGGGGCTGAGGGAAGAGGAAGCTCCTCCCCTTTCTCTTCCCTTTCTCCCCTCTTCTTCCCGAGGAGGGAAAGCCTTTTCTCCGTTGCTAAGCAACAGCGTAGCTTGGGCGGGGTTTATGTAGAATGTGATCGCGACGTAAACGAAGGCGTGTCTCCCACTTCTATTTTTTCCCCCCGCACAACTCCCTGGCGCGCATGCGCATTCGTGTCCTTAAATGGCCTCTACTTAAAGGGCCAGGGCACAGCTTGCAATGCATCTTTTTGGACAATATATTTGACAATAGTCTTGTGCAAACTATTTAATTTTAATATATACTTTTTTGGCAACATATTTGACAAACTATTTAATTTAATTTTAATATATAATTTATATAATATATATACTTTTGCATATTAAATCTGTATATTTAGATATGTGTTTAATATAAATGATTAATAATATATGCTTTGGATATTATTATTATTATTTAATACAATTGATCTAGGCTTTGGGTATTAATTATTAATAATGATCTAGGCTTTGGGTATTATTATTATTATTATTATGGATACCAATGATCTATGCTTTGGGTATATTCTTGTTGTTGTTGTTGTTGTTGTTACTAATTAATTATTATAATTAATTATCTAGCCTTTGGGTATTATTATTATTATTATTATTATTGATACCAATGATCTATACTTGGGGTATATTGTTGTTGTTGTTGTTACTAATTACATATGCTTTGCGTGTTTATTATTATTATTATTTAATACAGTTTATTTATTTATATTTGTCGTGTCAGAACAACCAGTCAAATTATATTACATTTCTAACAGAAACAAAGCAAACAAGCAAAAACAAAATTTGTGAGTTTGGTAGTTGATTAAATGTCCTTTGACCAGTATCTGGCCACTTGGAGTGCTTCTGGTGTTGCTGCAAGAAGGTCCTCCATTGTGCATGTGGCAGGGCTCAAGTTGCATTGCAGCAGGTGGTCAGTGGTTTGCTCCTCTCCACACTCGCATGTCGAGGATTCCACTTTGTAGCCCCATTTCTGAAGGTTGGCTCTGCATCTCGTGGTGCCAGAGCGCAGTCTGTTCAGCGCCTTCCAAGTCGCCCAGTCTTCTGTGTGCCCAGGGGGGATCTCTCATTGGGTATCAGCCATTGGTTGAGGTTCTGGGTTTGAGCCTGCCACTTTTGGACTCTCGCTTGCTGAGGTGTTCCAGCGAGTGTCTCTGTAGATCTTAGAAAACTATTTCTAGATTTAAGTCGTTGACGTGCTGGCTGATACCCAAACAGGGGATGAGCTGGAGATGTCTCTGCCTTTGTCCTTTCACTATTGGCTGCTACTTCCCGGCGGATGTCAGGTGGTGCAATACCGGCTAGACAGTGTAATTTTTCCAGTGGTGTGGGGCGCAGGCACCCTGTGATAATGCGGCATGTCTCATTAAGAGCCACATCCACTGCTTTAGTGTGGTGAGATGTGTTCCACACTGGGCATGCATACTCAGCAGCAGAGTAGCACAGCGCAAGGGCAATGTCTTCACTGTATCTGGTTGTGATCCCCAGGTTGTGCCAGTCAGCTTTCGTATGATATTGTTTCTAGCACCCACTTTTTGCTTGATGTTCAGGCAGTGCTTCTTGTAGGTCAGAGCACGGTCCAGAGTGACTCCCAGGTATTTGGGTGCGCTGCAATGCTCCAGTGGGATTCCTTCATTTAATACAGTTGATCTAGGCTTTGGGTATTAATTATTATTAATAATAATAATCTAGGCTTTGAGTATTATTATTATTATTATTATTATTATTATTATTGATACCAATGATCTATGCTTTGGGTATATTCTTCTTCTTCTTCTTCTTCTTCTTCTTCTTGTTATTACTAATGACCTATGCTTTCGGTGTTTATTATTATTATTATTATTATTTAATACAATTGATCTAGGGTTTGGGTATTCTTATTATTATTGATACCAATGATCTATGCTTTGGGTATATTGTTA